GTAACGTATTATTAAATTAATCGCTGTCGTGTAATCGCGAGGCACAATTAATACGACCGAAAGTGATACATCGCGCCACCTGGAAAATCTTTTTCTCAAATTTTAGTGCACGTTATTTACGCGCTCTTACACATTAGCTTATCAACACAATACTCTAACAAGTCAATTAAAACGTTTTAATTGATTCGTTTTAACAAATGTCTCGAAAACAAATGCAATTGTAACGCAACTATAACCGTGAACGACGATAGTTTGTATGATGATTTGCGGTCGTATGTTTATACTAGTGTAAATATTTCATTATCAAAATTTGACCAGTTCTAGTCATAGTATATCCTACGCGATGTGGAGAACAGACTTTTAGTCCTGTAATCTTGAGCACAGTTCAACGAGACAAGTCGACTCTCCTTTAACGGAATCTCTGAAGAGCTGGAGGGCACTATCCGCTATATACGCGTTCTCCATCTGTCGAGAAGACAGAAATAAACTTGGTGTCTTATTTCAACGCATGCAAGACTTTTCTCTCTCTCTCACACACACAATTTTCTAATATAATAGAATTGCACAATGAGCAAAACAAACATTTTTGCATATGTTTATAAAAATATACCGGGAGAAAAGCGGGCAATTGTGCGCACGAGAGTGCAGATTTATTGGGGGAACTGTTGAGAGCCATTGATCCGGGCCACGCGCGTTACGCGGTGAAAAGGATAACTGAGGTACAATAAGATTCGAAGAAGAGAAGGTCAGTTTCCTCAAGCGATGTTTACCGGTCGCCGTTGCTACCTGCTGACCTGGTCGCTGTCTTGACGAACAATTTGATGTGTTTTTGCCTCTTCCTCTCGGTGTTTACGTCGTAAAAGAAACTAGAAACGGACATAACAGGCACTGGGGTTCGTTAACCCGTCATACAGACGTTGCAGAAATGCAATTCGCCAGCTGACGATACTTTTAACTGCAACGTACGCGGGCCACGATATCGGAGAACAAGCGAGATGGAGAAAAACATCCAACGTGACGAGCTTCCGCCGCGCTATATAGATAAAGATGGCCGATGCGGCGTTTGAAATTTTTAATTTCTAATTATTACGATCCTGCACCGACCGTCAATATATGCCGCGCGTGTGCAGACCTTATGTCTCGATAGATCGCACAACTACGGCCTTTAGTTATGGGTTGCGATAATTGCCAATTTTCATGGACTCTCGTTTTGGTTTTTCTACTAGAACACATGTCGGTTGTTTTCTATAGTCGCAGTTTATACTCGCAATAAAACTTACACGATGCACATGTAAAATATACTTTTTATTAAAAAACAAAAAACAAAAAAATAAAAACATGTTCTTCGTATTACATAACGTGCGTTAGCATGTTGAAAACTGCAGCAATTCGCATATGACGTTACGAAATAAAAACACGCAATTTTGCGCGAGATACGTTTGTGGTTTCTTTTAGAAAGTTCAAAAAATTATGCTGTGCAGCGGTTGCGCGGTAACTTTTAACACGCTCGTGTCGCATAGACAAAGGCTCGATTTTAAAATCCACGCGGCGAGGTTGTGGAGGTAGTCTTAAAATCCTGGTCCATCTGCGCTACGGCAGAGATCATAGAGAATGCAGCTCGTGCAACCAATACCCACTTTGTAATCCGTGCACAGACGCTTTCCTACACAGATGTACGTGGTGAATCGCAGGTAGAATAGGATAGGGTATATATACGTAGCGTAGGCAGGCAGATTCCTAGGTGTGCGCCGTCGTCTTCTGACCGCGTTGCACATGCGAGCCAGGTATCTGATTCTCCAACGGAAGTCCCGTTCTTGCTCAATAACGCGGACGATCTGCCGGGAATAATAATTGTTTTCACGGGCAGAGAGAGCTGATTTGTACATACGAGAGAGCGCGCTGGAATCTCGAGACCTCGTCCTACACGATGAGAGTACAACATTTTGTTCAATATAAAATTGATCTCCATCCGATCAGAAACAATGATACTCAATCGCATTTTTTCTTCACAATAGAGAAAAATTGCTTTTGTTTTAAATGATCTCGATGTGGGAAGATAAAAGTGATTTTTATCACGCCGGCAACTATATATATCTACACACACACACACACACACACATATGTATTGCTTCTAATACTAAAAGTCCCAGCTGGCGAGTGTGAATAAATTCCCCGCGCGCGCAATACGCGTCTGGGGATGCGTCGACGGATCGCGATGAAATATGATCAGAGCGTGATAAGAGGAGCAATATAAACTCTTAATTAAGAGTTAATTGTTAGTTACGGGCAGAATCCATTATATCTCACATATGTGTATTCAGATATCGAACACAACTCGTGAGAAAAGTAGAAACTGATGTAACTGTATATCACTATGATAAAATTATCGATAAAATATTACAATTTCACATTTGCTTTTTATAAATGAGCATACGATATGTGTGTAACGCATTATTTACACGCGTATTATTTATTTAGAACGACGAGAACAACAAACCATCGGACTTCAACGTCAATATATTTTACGTCAGTTCATCAAGATTAATTCTCGATCACAAAGGAATGATTTTGTCGACAATTTCACCTGCCCCATGTGCGACATCATATCTGGCGACAGGTATTGCACCTGTAACACACCTGTATCCGATCGCCCGATTTGGAAGAAATTTATCGCTTCGCGCCGATTATCAGAAATTTATCTGTATTATCCGGAATTATGATGCAAGATTTATTGTCGATATAAATTGACGCGTTTTACGACATTTCATTGTGTTGTTAATTAAATCTAGTCTGCGAAGTATTGTTACGTCAATATTTACTTCTTTCTTTCTCGGAGCAACGTTCGTATATATATTTGATATTAATCATCGTATTATTGAATTCGATATATTTCGATATATCAAATATAATAATATCAAGATTGTGTATGGAAAAGTCAATAAACAATTTTGAGGAATATCTATCACACGCGTTCTTTAAATACACAATCAGAGAAATGTATTGTTTGGAAATAGAAAGAGTAGGAAAATGCTGGTGAATCGCAGACGAAATTCTCGTGAAACGATAGTTCGCTTAATTATCGATTGTTATGATTATTACAAGCGAATAATTGGGATTTACGGTGACCACAATAATCATACTCCAGCGAAAATGGCCGTGAATGAGAAAAGTAGATAGGAAATGAGGGCGAGTTCGGTTTTAGTGCACTCGGGGAGTTTCATTTAATTATTATTTACACCGAAAGATCACGCGATATTGTCAAAAGAAAGGAAAGACACGCCATTTGTCGGCGATAAGTAAAGGGGAAAGTAGAGGCGGGAGAATGTAAGGGCGTACAACTGATTTAGAGGACTAATTCGCGACACTTATCACCGCATCGAGATACGGCATTGAGTCACGCAAGTTTCTAAATTCATTGCTCTGTCTAAACTGCATACGCAAAAAACTTTAGTTCTGCTTTTTTCACGCAAAAAATACATAATACTTGATTTTTGCGCTGTGTAAACTAACAGATCGGGTAACTACTTTCTATACAAAGAAAAGAGAAATAAATTATATATATATATATATATTCTATTATATACATATAATTATATATCTTTTTCTCGTTTATTTAATTTTTATATCCAATTTCCATTAAATTAAGAAGAAATAAACAAGTCAAAAGTCCAGATTTTTATACTGATTTTTTATGTAACGTTTTATCAACTTTTTTCACTTTTGGAACAATTTCTAATGCGTTTTACTTATATATCAATCTTGAATAGCACACGCAAAAATGAAGATATTCATAGAATTGCGCGACCATCGCGCGAAATCTTATCGGCGAGGAAGTATCAGCTTTATAATGCTGTTGTAGCATATTGTACGTATATCTACATTGCAATATCTACATTGTATAATCACTCAACCCGTTAAGAGCAGTCGTGTACTTTGGCACACTAAATTCAAAACGGTCTGTACTTTATGGAAGTATATCGCATTTATATCGTGTCTGGCGCGCAAACCGCATGTTCGACACACCGCGCGCGTGTATGCACCTTGCGCATTCGACGGTCTCTCTTTCCGCGCATCGTCAGACGTGGAATGCCGGAAGTTTCAATACTTCCATCCAGTGGTGTAAAAGCGACTCTACTACATCAAACAGTCCAGCGTGCAATATAAAATCGGCGACAGGCCGTGAATTCGTGACACGACGCTCATAAAAGGATTTATGCGCGCGTACAAGAGAAATACGAGTCGAGACGTTAGCTCGTTACACATTGGTATTATCGACGGAGAACATCGTGTGTACGCGACACTTTTTTCCGAATACCGGAAATTACGTATGTCACGGTCCTAATCGATTTCAAGCTTCAGAACATATCGCGTTAATAAAATTTTAACACGTGCAAATTGTCCGTTTCATTTCAACATCGTTTTTTTTTTTTCATGTTGCGTCATAAAGTTGGTTAACACGCGTTGTTGTTATTTCTTTCCCGTATGTTTTCCACACTCGCGTATCAAAGAAGGACGCACGCAACGAACAAAAATCCCGGATTGATCCGGTAGCAACTGCGCTCAGACGCGCTCGCTTGGTCTGTGAATCTGCGGTGGATCCGATATCGTAGGAGAAAGGATTGATCGAGGAGACATCGGAGAGGATGAAGAGGCGCAAAGGTTCTGGTACACATATAAAGCGGAGACGACAAAGAAACTGCATTGCCGCGCTAAATCTCGCGAATGTCAATTCAACCGCGTAATCAATCTTCAATAGATACGATTGACTTCTTTTTAATGTCATTTCTTGTGACGTTGATGTCTCATCGTTTTGTTAATCACACGAGACGACGTTACGAAACACACTACGTGCGAATCGTAGATATCTTTTTGCACGTAAGGTCCATCTTTTGTACGTTACCGAGTATATTATTATTTGTGATTGCATAAATATTCTTACATGGTCAGAAAGATATTATTAAGAAGTTTTGCTTCTCCGTAAAAAGATCGTGCAGACTCACCGTGACGTTTTAGGCCCGTCGTAACCCTTCAGAGAACGATGTTCGTCTAAATAGAAGAAAAGATTCTTCAACTCCGAGAGCTGTTGATTTCTCTCGGTCATCGATTCTTTCAGAACCTGAAATGCATAAAAAATACATACAAACGCACATGTATATAACTTGAAATTTTATTTTAATTATATAAATTTCTTGTATCACAGAGAAGGAGAGAAGACCTCCCTGTTTCGTGTAAAAAGAGAATTGCGTCGGGTTTAATCGTGCCAATTTTGTTCTCCACTGTGCACAGTATGGGGCAAACCGAAAAGCAAAAAATAGAAGAAGAGAAAAAAGAGAGAAAAAGAGAGATAGAACGAAAAGGAGAGGGTCGAGTAGCGCGGACGAGCAAGAAAAAAAGGGAAAAAAGAAAAATCGGGAACCACCGCTCCTTGAAAATAAAATCGGTTTTCCGATAACTGGTTATTTGCTCACACAAGTGGCTCGCTGACTGGAGCATGGAGCGAGCACGTCGGAAGCGGTTTTCGCGTGTAATATTATCGAGTTATCGGTAGGATAGGAGAGCATTGATCGCCGGGATAGAAGACAGGGGGAGAGGGGGAAATGGACGAACGTGAAGAAAGAGACCGAAAGAGGATGGGAGGGAGAGGAGGAAGTTGGTGGATAAAATAGCATGAAGAGAGGGAAAGGGAGACGCAAGAGATAGACGAATGTACACTACACGAGCACAATATATCCACGTGATTACAATATGTCGGTGCTCGAGAGACCAATATCAACCTGAAGTCGACTCAGCCAATGCTGATAATCCCTATTGTTGAAGCCGCCACTCGACTTGCCTCTCGCGAACGGGATACATACCTACATATATATATATATATATATGTATATACACCTTGTTTCAAAATTTCGAATGGCTTCAGCGAGTACCAAATATAACGCTCTGATGAGACGAAGAGGATGTTTTGCACGGTAGAAAATTCCACCTGAAATACCGTCCGTGTGATTCACAACGGGGGATTTGAAAATTACAGAAACCCGGACGCGCGGAACTTTCCCAATTTTGAGCACGTCGCGGAGAATCGCGAGGAAATTTTAACGACGGTATCTATCTTCTCCACTTTTGATCCCAGTCATTCTTATAGAGCTCCGAAGAATATCTCTCCGAATGAAATTCACGCTCATGTTGATAAGTGACTAGTGATAACAAGCGTGCTAGTGTATATATACACTTACGTACGTTCGATCGATGTTATTCAACCGCCAATTATATATAATTCGAATTTCAAAGTGGTTTTAAATCATTTCTGTCTAACAAAATATACAATTAAACCAAATAAACAAGACGGTTTCATTTTTTTTTGTATAAATTGAAAAAAAAATTTTAATTTCTAAAAAAATAGATATATCTGATCAAGTGTGCGTCATCTTTTTAACTTCAAAATCAGTCTAATATAAATACTATTTGTCTAATCACTCATTACAGATTTGCGCTTGTATGTGCCAGTATGTCGCATTAAAAGAGAAGTCAAAATGGCGAATAAATGGATGGCAAAAATAACAAAACTTGTCCTACGTTTATGCTCCCCGTTGCCAGGCTGTACACGCAGGCGGACGCCTTCCACACATCCCACACGAAAGACGACGATGACGGCAATAACGGCGGCGGCGGTGGCGACGACGACGACGATAATGACAACGACGGCGGCAAAGTTCGATTCTCGGTCTCTTTCAAAACAATTACGCATTCTCACATGCGCCTAGTCTCCCACATCGCCTACTCTATCGTCCTGCCGCAATATACAATATAACATATAAGTGCCCACGACCGGTTCTCTGTCAGATCACGACAAATGCGCGCGATTTACTTGGGGAATTAGCATAAAGAAAGTTTCATTATATACGTATATTATACGTAGAGGTGTGTTTCCTCATTTGTCGCGGCTGATTTATCGCCCTCGATCTGACGATTACCGTATTTGTAAGAGATTGGGAGTAACGGCGCGACAATTTCTCCGCGCGCGAGATCGTTTTACCACGGTACTACCGTACACAACCACTTGAATTTCTCGTTATTTCAATTCAACTCGACACGTAACAATTCTCGTAACAATCGAAGATACATCTTTGATCCGCGGGCTATATCAATTATCGAATTATCTATTGTAATGCGCGTGTGTAACGTATATGCATATTATCGTAACTTCGCGTGTGATAAACCATCGATTTAATTGGTCTTGAGGTATGTAACGCGAAGATAAGGAAAACGCCGCAGGATATACCGGAATTACAAGGTGCACGCGAATATAATACGAATTACATAAACGTAATATGAAAAACATAATTTCAAGGCCGGAGATTGCAACATCGGCGCTAGTAACTGGAACTGCTTCTTACATCGCCGATATTTTATCCCGAGATCCGTTGATCGTCGTTTTTCTCGCAGTGTTCGATTTTTCTCTACAATCGAAGTACGCGGTCTTGCGAACGCACACGATACGTATCGGCGAATATATAACCTGATAAGGAGCGAGAGAGCAGACGCGATTACTTCGTAATCGTCTCTCGAAAGAGGTTGTCCGCGATTACAGCATTAATTAACGATGAAACAAAAAAATAGTTGCGATGCGTTACGTGTAGTCGGATTACACACCTTTGATTCACAATCCTGTATCGCGGGAAGAAAGTTTCTTTACGCAGATCTTGCAGATATCATTCGGCGAATCGTGTGCTTCGCGCACTTTTCTGCCGATTCGAAGTGCAACGATAGGCGTAAAAAAGAGTTTTACTCGCTCGCTGTTTGAGAATTCTCAGTAAAATTGTCTTCGCGCGCCTTATCCTAAGTAGTTTACGGTTTATTGTATCTCGAAACGCGCCTGCTCTTTCGATAAAAACACGAGAGAGCGCTTGTCGAAGCTCGAGTGTTATCGCACGAATTCAAAGTGTGATATCTTTGAGAGTGCAACACTTACGCAACAATTTGTCTTGACTTGTTCAAAGAGATTAAAATAAATTGCATTTCCATCTTAATGCTTGTTGTTTTTTTGCAACTTCTTTCTTTTTTTTAGTTGGATTTAAAAAAATGAATCCTTACTTTCAAATGAGTTGTGTCGTCGTTATCATTTGCGAATTTTAATGCCCCGTTGCCTTTATCCCCGTCGCGTTTTTTCGGTACGTTGAAATTTTACAGCGAAGTAATACCGCCCACCGGTTTTCGCGGCGAAAAACCCTATCCGAGATTTCTCGAATACGTATCGTGTATTTCTGGCTGCCGGCGTGCTCGTCTGCAAGTATGCAAGTAGGCGCCAAAGTGGATGCGCGCATAAATTCGCTCGCGGTACGTTTAAAAGATGTGGAGTGATTTCGAGCGTGCGCTGCATAACAGCAGGAGAAAAAGGTACACGCGCGCGCGCGCGCGCGCGTTTTCGTATTACATTCGAGTAAACGCGCGCGTCTCTCCGCGTGTGTATATATTGTAAAATATACTGACGCAAATATTGAAACTCCCGTACACAACGTGTGCGTGTGTATGTGTGTGTTTTTCTTCGCTCGCGCAACCGCGCCCGGTTACACGCACTGCAAAACATTAATCACAAGTTGTTGTTGGCAATAATAAGCGTATCCCCGATAAAATATGCGGTTGTGATATTTAAAGTCGGCAACGACTATTGTTTGCATTTTGAACATCCTATCCTTTATATTTTGTGCTCGCCCGTGTATATACGCCCGTATAGATTCACGTCGCGCGAAATTACACGACTTGCCGGATGTCCGCGATCACGACAAGTGACACGAAGAAATTGGTGGGATTATGCACGTCTACTTTCACTAAGCAGATGGTTATTTTCTGGAAGTGTATACCTATATCCGTTCGTGTGATAATTGCCGAGTTGACGGTCCGTTGCGCGATGCAAAACAACATGTTACGAATAAAATCTTATCGTTGTTGAGTTTGTAGCGAGACGATAATTGCAGTTTACAGAAACGTGACGTAATTGCCCGCAATTTGCTGTTACGATTTTTGTAAGAAACGAATTTAGTCGAAAATAAAATCTCTGAAATGGTTTTTTAAATAAATTATACATTACAAAATCGCACATTGAATATCGGAAAAATTTTCAACTTAAATCTATCGGGTTTAGATCATTGGTACAGAAATATATACATATACAGCATATTCCCTTTTATGCAGATCATATAACTGCGGATAATTTCAAGTCAATGAAGCCAAGGTCTTAAAAATTATCTGATCTAATAGTCATCTCCGATGGCAACGCAGGGAAGTCCTTTCAAAGTCGGATGAGATTGACGGATGATCGTTTCTAATAACTATTACCGATGGCAGGGTGATATCCGCTTTCTTCTGCGATGATCATTACCATAATCACATTACGTGTGACTGCGCGTTCTGAACGCGCGTAGGCAGATCTTGTGTAAGTAGGATAAACAGACGAGTTGCGTGCGAACACGCCGTCATTGGAATTTTATCCTACGGGGCACTGCGCATCCGAGAGAAAGAATAAAAAGTACGAAAACCACAAAATAAAACGACGCACTGTAAATCTTTCTTTCGTTTTTTTTTCTCATTCTTTTCCCACTCGTTTTTTTTACAAAGCGTTAACTCTCTTCTCCGACTTTGTTACAAATTGCACACACTTTGAGGATTAATATGATAACGTTAATGTCCGTTAATTATCACGTACTTCCTCCGTATCTCGTTAAATAATTGTCTAAGTCTTACGCACGATAGCCTTGAAAGTGTAGATAAGTTCTCGATCTACGTAATAAGGCGTGTGTCTTTAGTTGTGAGATAAATATGTCTGTGTTGTGATTCGAGAACAATAAAATAATGGAATTTAATGATAATGCGAGTCGTTACGTGTGTTGAATATTACTTCAATAAATTAAACTTCATAATTATATGTTCAATAATATAAATATATAAATTGCCAACGGAAACAGCAGAATACGCACTTAGAGGTATTCGGACACGCAAACGTCATATAAAAAAGAAAAAAAACAAGGCCCTTTTATTTAACTCTCAACGAACTATTATTAAGACGATAAAAAGTATAAGCAATTACGCGAGAGAGCCGCGGATTCGGCCGTAAACGCGGACTCT